CTCAGGAATTGTCACAAAGAAGAAGGAAGTCAAGCTATTCTCCAAAGCACCTGAGGGCAGGACAAGAAGCAATGGGTGAAAACTAATCAATGAGAGAAGCAACTTAGAACTAAGGAGAAATTTCCTGACAGTTAGAACAATTAATCAGTGGAACAACTTGCCTCCAGAAGTTGTGAATGCCCCAACACTAGAAGTTTTTAAGAAGATGTTGAGTAACCATTTGTGTGAAACAGTATAGGGTTTCCTTCCTAGGCGGGGTTGGACTAGAAGACCTCCAAGGTTCCTTCCAAACTCTTGTTATTCTATGTAGTTCTATGTAGTGAGAACATGGAGCAGAAATTGCCTTGGGAAACTTCATCCCTGGAAGCTTTCAAGAAGAGACTGGACTGCTCTCTGTCAGAAATGGTGCTTGGGAGGGGGGGTTGGACTAGATGACCTCCAAGGTCCCTTCCATCCCTGTTAATCAGCTGCGATTCAACCCGGAGTCCAGCCAGCCACTTGTCTCCCCCCCCAAAAGGAATGCCTGGAATTGCAGTTTATCAACCGGCACCGAAATGCTTTTTGTTAGGAGCGGCTGCCCCTCCGCTTCCCCCGGGAGCCCCGACGCCCCGCTCCGCCTCTCGCCCCAATCCGCTTCGATCCAGCCTCCGGGTTTTCCCCCTGTCCGATAAGTGGGAAAGCGAGGCTTCTCCGCGCTCTCGCTCTCCCGCCCCTCCTCGAAGGCGGGGCCTTGCGCGTTGTGCGTGCTTGCGTGCGTGCAAAGCGGCGACGTCGCGTGCGTGCGTGCGGCCTTCGCTCTCCGCCCGCCTTCCCCCCTCCTTGCTTTTCCCCCCCTCAGACGCTCTCGCGGCGCCGTCGCGCTCCCGGCGTTTCGCGGCCTTTCCCTTCTCCCGGCGGCGGCGGCGGAGGAGCGGCCTTCCCCGACGCGGACATGGCGAACGTGGCCGACACCAAGCTCTACGACATCCTCGGGGTGCCGCCGGGGGTCTCCGACAACGAGCTGAAGAAGGTCCGAGGGGGGGAGGGGGGAAGGGAAACAGGCCCGGCTCGAGGGACGGAGGGAGGGGAACCCCCGAGGCCTTCCCCGGCGGGTCCCTAAAGGGCTTCGCCGGAGAGGGGGAAGAAGCCGGGCGCTGGGCCTAGGCGAGCAGAGGCGGGCCGGCAGCCATGGGCCTTCGGAGGAGGGAGAGGGAGAAAAGGCCCGAGGCCTCCAGGCCCGACTAGCTGGGGAGGATGGGGGGGGGGAGAGACCTTGCATGGCGTTTGGTAAGAGGGGGAGGGGAGGATCTGCAATGCGAGGGGGATGGGGGGGCAAAGCTAGAGAAGGGCAGCGTTGTATGGGGAGGATGGGAGTTGTAGTCAAGTGGCGGAGGATAGTGGGGGGGGTGTATTGAAGTGCTGGGGAGAACGGGGGTTGTAGTCCAGTGGAGAAGGGTAGTGAGGAGCGTATGGAGGAGAGATGGGGTGCTGGGGAGGATGGGAGTTGTAGTCAGGTGGACGAAGGTAGTGGGGGGGGATGTATGGGGGAGAGATGGGGTGCCCGGGAGGATAGGGGTTGTAGTCAGGTGGAGAAGGATAGTGGAGGGGGGGTGACATGGGGTGTTGAGGAGGGTGGAAGTTGTAGCCAGGAGGAGAAGAGTAGTGGGGGATGTATGGGGTGCTGGGGAGGATGGGAGTTCTAGTCAGGTGGAAAAGGATAGTGGAGGGTATGGAGGAGAGGTTGGATGCTGGGGAGGATGGGACTTGTAGTCTGATGGAGTATGGAGGAGAGATGAGTTGTCTGGGAGGATGTTGAGTAACCATTTGTGTGAAACAGTATTGTAGGTTGTAGTCAGGTGGAGAAGGTTAGTGGGGGGGTGTATGGAGGAGAGATGGGATGCTGGGGAGGATGGGGCTTGTTGTCTAAGCTATCAGGTGGGGAAGAATAATAGGGGTTGTTGTAGTCGGTGGCAAAGGGGGCTTGGGAGGATTCAAGGTGTACAGTAAGTTGCTGGGAAAGGATAGTAGGAAATATTGTATTTCGGGTGCTGGTAAGTTGTAGTGGGAGTTGTAGGGTGAGCGAAAATTGAGATTGCTTTGCAGGTTCATAGAAGAGGGAAAGAAGGAGGAAGCTTGGGGGAATCACATATCCAAAGTCCCATTATTTTCTCAGATTTGTTGAATATTTATTTGAACAATTTTTGTAGCTACCTATCTTGCTGGCTTCAGTCTTATCCATGGTTTCCAGGCTGGATTGGCAGCAAGGCATTAATAATTGAGCAAATCTCTTGGCTTTCCTTTGCCTTTTATGTTTTTGTGTATCAAGTATTAGTCTTCCTGTGTTCGGCATTCTGTCCAAGTACTCTCAGAACTTCAACTCCCAACATCCCCAGCCAGAGCTGTAATGCAATCTCTGTTTGCCCCTTTGGGAGAGGCTGAGCAAGTCACCCATGTGTATATATGTAAACACCAGTTTTAAATACATGATGCTCTGGAGTGTGAAGAATAGAGAAACGTTGGAGCTTCCTTTCTGTTTGGCTTCCTCATTCTTTCCCAAGAATAGGCATTCTGTACAATTGCCTTAAACAATTATTGTGGGGAAAGCAAATCAGAATATATCTTTCCTCTTTTATTTTGCCCATATTCTTGTTCTTTTGAAAAACATTTTGGGTGACCACATATCTTCCCTCTTTATCATTTCATAGGATAACCTTATGATTTATTTGATGATCCCGAAATTACTTTCTTCTTCTTCTCTCTCACTCCAGTGTCTTAGGTGTCTTCTAGAAATTGTTTTCACCTTCTGATCTCGTTCCCACAGGAGAAGAATGGGTTGACACTACTTTTCTTTTCACGGAAGCAAATTTTATTGCTTAACAATTCAACTGAATTGTTTCCGTCTGCAGAATCACCATGAGGCTGAGCTATATAGACCTTTGAACTTCTCAAGTATTACCAAAAAACAAATTTTTAGTGGCAGAGATAGGGAAATAATTGAAGGCAGCATTGTCTAGTTCATAATTATTTTTCATTAAATCAAATCCTGTTTACTTTTTGCCTTCACCTGGCCCACTTTAGGGATTGCGTCACACTCTAACCTTGTCCTCAGTAACTGATCCATTGACTATCTGTGTCCTTGTTTTTGTAACCGGTCAACCCTGCACCTCTTGTCTCCCAGGCCAACGGAAAGCCATCCCATAATACAGGTTTCAACTGGTTAATCACTATTTCCTGCCTACTAAGAAGGCGCTGCTGCTGGGAAAGGAATCCTAGACATTGGGGAGTTACGGTTTGGCCTGGATGTTTGTTATTGAGGAAGTAGGTGCATGGGAGGACTCACACAAGTGATAGGGCCTGAGGTCAACAGGAAAATAAGTTCGCTTGTAGGGCCTGCCCCAGCTTAAACTTCCCAGGAAAAACGATCATTGGCTCCGTTTATTGAGAAAGGTATATAGTTTATTAGAGGTCAAGTGTATTTTCGGGCAAGGCTCAGTTTGGTATGCGGCCCCATCTTCCATCTGGGTGACCTTGAGGCAGTGTGTTTCGTTTCCCCAAAGCATTCCCCTCTTCGTTCCCCTCCCCACAAGTCATGGCAGTCTGTCACCAAATAGTAACAAGCCAATGTGAGGTGTCAGCTGATATCCCTATTCTGAACTGAAGTGGGTAGGGAGAAAAAACCCTATCTTCTGTAGTATATTGCCTTTCTCCATGAGTAAACAAATAGAGTTTGATATTCTGTGACGTTTTGCCTCCTGTAAATCCAGTTTCTTAGGTGGAGGGTAAAATTAATTGTTCTTTGACACTAATTTTGAATACACCTGTTGGATCCCAACAGGCCTATTGAGAGCATGCATACAGATTCCATAAACGTGGAATTGAAAATGAACTTTAAAAAAAAAAAGCTACACGTGAATGAATTTCTTTTAGCATAGCTGATGCTTTTACAGGATCAAGTGGAACACCTCCTTTCCCAAGTTCATTGAAAGTGGTTTGAATCTGGCATGGATATTCTGCCTCTCAAGTTTACCAAAATGGAACTCTCTGGATTATAACTGGAAATTATCAGTTGGGAAGAGTTCCATTCCTCACTTCTAAAATGGTTGCCAACTAACAACTCTTGGGTTGTCTCTCAATCTAATGGGCATTGCGTAGCGACACTCCCATCTTTTTGCTGCTTGTCTTTTTAGAAGAAAGGCTTGGCAAAGGCCAAGTAGCACCCAAAGCTGTTTCGTTTTTAATAGCAAAGGAAATGTTCGCATGACTTATCTTTCCCTATAAAGTAGTGGCCAAAATTGTGAAAACCTTTTGGGAAAAGTATACAGTATTTTTGAAGTTTCATGGCTAATGACACCACCTTTTTTGGGGGGAATAAAATTATATATCAATGGAAAGATAATTTAATCAAGAATGTAATGCAGTAACTTTTCTGAAGGACTTGCTTTTGGAATAGCAGTTATAAAAAAGAAAAGTGAAACACATAGAAAAAAATGAGATATGCAAAAATTATCACCATGGCAGGTAATACTTAGATGAGTAACCTTTAGCATGAAGTAACCTCCCCTTTGAGTGAACCAAGTCTTTTACTTCTGCAGCTGTTATAATGTGAAACCAAGATTGAATGATTGCTTCTATTAACTGGGTTTTATTGCTGGCTATATTTGGCTATACCTTTTCATAGAATAGAGATAATTGAACAAACTTTGTTGCATTACATTCTTGGTTAAATTATCTTTCCATTGATATATAATTTTATGCTACTACTCCAAACAAAGTGGTATTATTAGCCATCAAACCTCAAAAATACACTTTTCCCAAAAGGTTTCCACAATTTTGGCCATTACTGCCTCTTGAAAAGAGTGGTCTGAAACATGCTGAATGATTTGGCTTCATTTTTATAATACTTGCAGTCCTTAGGAACAATTATCTCCCATAAAACAATAACTGGGATGCCATTTAAAATACTCCAAGGTCTTGGCCATGTTAGGACAGCTGCAGTTTTCTTATGAAAGCTTAATTATTGGCACTTCTTTTTAAGTGAGGCATCTTTTACACCTATATAATGGTTTGAACTGCTGATCTTAGAAAAAAAAATATTACAGTAAACTGATTTAGTTAATATTTTATGTAAGGTGTAGCTAGACCAGGGGTCCCCAAACTTGGCAACTTTAAGACTTGTGGACTTCAACTAGCTGCCTGGGGAATTCTGGGAGTTGAAGTCCACAAGTCCTAAAGTTGCCAAGTTTGAAGATCTCTGAGCTAGACTATGAATGATTATTTAGAAATGAAACTAATTAACCAGGTTAAGACGTACTTATTAAACAAGTTATACTTGTTATAATTATCATGTGCTAAGCTGTAAACGAGCGTTGCGCATCATGAGATTCCCCCACTCTCCAACCTTTGAGGAAGTCTTCCCAAAAGTGCTGCTAAATTGCAATTAGGAAGGCCAGAGAGTAAGAACATTATTAAATAAGGGTTTTAATTACAGCTGACTAACATTGCAGTTAATTTTCTCAGATGTAAAGCGCTCCTTGTTTTGTCCTTGGTTTTTGGAAAGCTGCTCCCACTTGAGCTGGGCCTAAACCTTGGCACCAAAACGTTCAGCATCCCTGCCAGAAACCAAAGCACAAAATAGAAGTGCTGTGCAAATGGTGTGCTAATGACAAGAGCAGTCGTAGCAGCAGTGATGGAGGGAGGTGTGCTTGTGTGGCGTTGGTGGGCAGGAACCTGAAGCCTCAGGTAACGTTAGTGTTGTTAAACTTAACTAAACCCATCCCCCTCTATGGAATTCAACAACATCCGAACACCCACTGCGGCCCTCATATGGAATTAATAATAGTTTGGCATTCGTTTCCAGGCTTTAATTCAGTACATTTTTTTAATGGATAATGCATAATCGTGGACTGTTGCTTTTTCCATGTTTACTAATTTGGGAATGTTAAGGGTGAAGTTTGAGGTAAATGGGGGGAAAGGGGTTTGGTTTGATTTGATTGATTTTATTTCATTTATATGCCGCCCTTTTCCCCAAAG